ACAAAACCAACATACTCCAGACACTAACTGCATCCCATGAGAAGCTATCAAATGATAGCCACTGACCAGAGAAAGCTATAGAGCAGAAAAAAGGATAGCATTAAATATGCAAGTGTTTGTAATCCTTGATGGTCAACCTCAGTGTCTCAGATTCAACTTCCTTGATGTTACAAACAGGAGAATCTAATCACAGAAGTACAGTTCTTGTGTGTAGCTTGTCCTCATATCTCTTTTTCAGAAAAAAAACCCCACAATGCAATGGCAAGTTAAAAGGTCTATTATTTTAACAATCAGAATAGCTAACAGCCTATTTGAAAGAAAAAAAAAAGTTTTAAAAATGAGCATACTACTATCTACTAAGATTTAGAGTGACAATACAACTAATTGGAGCCAAGGAATATTTTAGACAGCAGTAAGGCAAATTCTGTTCTTTGCTGGGAGTAAAACTGAAACAAAAAGGAGCAGCAGCTCACCAAAAAAAGCCACATGTACACAGGCCAATAATATTTAAATGAGAGAATGAAAAAACAGCCAACTGAAGTGTTTTGCAAGAGAAATATTTAAAGACAGCAAAAGCATCCAGATTGCCTGCTGAGAAGCCCAAGTGAGAATGGTTTTCTTCTACTGCACAGAGGCAAGGTTTACAATATTAGACAAAAACACATTCCACTTCAGACATTTGTCTTACTCATTGAAATTGAATCAATATTAAGTTCCAAGGTGGTCTGTAAATAATGGCAGAGTAAAGCATTAAAGAGTATTAAACCCTCATGATGGGCTAAATAATAGAAACAGAGGGCAACACAGCCTGCCTTGACACTTTGCTGCTACAGTGCTTATTAACCTGCTAGCTCAAAGATCACTGAACAGTTACAAGCTATGATTTAATTGATGCTTATCTGAAAGTGTTGTCAAGACACTCTTCAGAAACTGACGGAACTTCATTATTTAATACAGATTAATAAAATAGCGCTATTCAATACTAAGTCCCATCTTTATTAATATAAAACAGCATACATGACACGTTAACAGCTTCTCTTTGGTTCCAAAGATGACCATATGAGCATTTGTCTTCTCTACAAGAGGCTTTTCTGTGGTGTCACTATGCTACCTGGGAGAGAATGGAAAGTCATACAAACAGAAGGAAAGTGTCCACAGAAAGAATATGTTGCCTTGGGTTCCTTCTGATCTGACTCTAAACCTCTATGTGCATTTTCAGCTCTATTAAAATCAGGAGAATCTGCAAAACTGCATTGGTCCCAAAAGCTGTAATTTAAGCAAACTGTAAAACTAAAGCAACAAACTGATGCTTTATCAGATAAGGCCGATTTTTTTTTTTTTTTTTTCAGAACAAGCTGCCCTGGCATTTAGTACACTACTATTCACAAAAGCCTGAACTTCTGCTTCTCTGGCAGAAGTGTCCTTTCCATCTCTAGCTAACAAATTAAATGTTGATACACACCAACAGCCACAAGAACTAGGTATTTCAAGATATAAGGGCTTGTTAAAGGGAGAAAGAAGCTTAATAAATCCATCGCATTTCAGTAAATATCCCAGGAGAACTATACTATGTGCCATAAACTCGCTAGCTTGGAAAGGAAGTGATATCTTTGGATGCAGATTAAATAGAAAGACAGAATCCTCAACTTCAACTGAAGACCTGAGAAACTGCAACACAAAAATGCTCCGATTCCTGACTTATAACTTCCAATGTCTGAGTGCCTTCTGTCAGGGAAGTGTGAAGGAAAATGACTTAATACCTATTGCACTCCCCGAACTAACAGGAAAAAAACAGAAACAGAAAGCATGAACTTTATTATTGTCCTGCTTGTTCTAGGTTCCAGTTAAAAGAGCAGTCTTTCCTACGTTTGGATCTAGGTATTTGCTATGATTTCATCTGATTTTTCCCTCTCCTCAGTTTATTAATCCATTCCACCTAGGAAAACCCGAACCTTCTCCCAAAATTTCTTTCCTAGACTGCACAAGGCAAGTTGAGAAGTTTGCTGTACCTCCAAGTTTGCTGAGAAGTTTGCTGATAGCCAAGTGACAGCATCATGACTGGCCATGAGCTGTTTTTTTTCATTAAATACAAATCACGGAGACAGCATTAAACACATGCTATTTCTTTAAAAATGGAAGTTAAAACAAAAAATCCAAAATCATTATTCAAGCAAATATAGTGAATGTTTTAAGAAGGGAAACGGATTCTGCTATGGATACTAAAAAATAACTATGAGTTTATGTTCTCAGTAAAGCAACAAAACCTTGAAGAAAAATTTCCTATGTACAAATAGGAACCTACTACAAAATAAGAACTACTGAAGATTGGATGGAAAAACTTACATGACTAGGAAATGAGCAAAAAACCTCCAACTACCACCTCCTCCCAGAGGAAAGGTTCAAATTACGTTCAACATAACAGCATCTTCTGCAGCGCTAGCAGGCAAAAGTACCAGTTTAACTCCTCTAGAAAACCTCTTAAATACACGATAAGATATTTTCTTCCTAATTACTTAATACTTCTTTCAAACGGGGGTGGGGGAAGGGAGGGCACATATTTAATGAATTTTAGTTTACAAAGATAACATGTTGTTTTCGAGATACACTTGTCTATTTAAAGCAAGTAAAACTTTCCTTGATAATCTTGCTAGAACACCAGTTCTCTCATACTTCTTTTGAAAGGGCTGCTATGTCCAGATGTTAGCTATTCGGGCATCTGATACCTAACACTACCTTTTCTACAAATATTCCCTACATGGTTTGTAATAATATGATTCATATATTCACATTTATACCTGAAGAATGTCTATATATTTTCTCCCAAATACTGAGGTTTTTCAGTCAGCTTTTTTCTCCAACTTTTCATGACAGTAAGCAGCCTTCAAACTGGTTTCTTCTATGAAAATTAATATTATTTGAAGAAATTTGAATTGCAAACATTTTTAAAAAATTTGCAATGAAACTGCATAATAAAGACAAATATGAAGAAATTAAACCAAATATTACGTTCAACTAGAAACAATTGTGGTCATCTTTTCCAAAAACACTACCAGAGTCTGATTCTAGATAAATCATCTGCACATATTAAAAACAAACTGTAGTACTGTACAAACTGTACTAGGTTTATACATGCGGGATATTTATATTGCAAATTCACTCAGGAACTCCTTCAGTAACATCTACACCAAGTCCACAGCTAATTTAGTCTTCTGAAGCCCTTGCAGGGATGTTGTATTCTATAATCACCTATCTGTACATTCTTGCATGAACAGACCTGTTGATCAGCGCTCTCCAGGATATGACACATTAAGAACTTCAAATAACACAACAAATGATAAAATTGCATTTTTCTTTTGTATATCTTGATGTTTACAAAAGGTAAGAAAATCGTTAACTTGAGGTATGATTGATTATGCAAACATTTTCACATTCATTATTAAAAGACTTTGAGTAACCTCAGCACAGATGAATATAAAGATGTAAATTAAAGGCTCAAAAATAGAAGAGACATAAAAGGAACTTAACATTACTTGCATTTTTCATTTTTTCAGTCATATATAATTCTCAGAGAAGCACAACTTAAGATGTTGATATTAATGTGGTCACTTAAGGCTCCAACAGTTAACTGGATGGTCTCTAAACCTCCTAATACTGTTCTTGATTAGACTCATTTAGCAGCTGAGCTTAGTTAGCCTAGGAAAACAGAGGAGAATTCAGTTGATTGTTGATGGTCTAGAAAAATATACTCTAAAAAAGTTAGCACATCTTATCACAACATATAGCTACAAAAAATTTATGCATAGTCACTTGCCCATTTAATTCTAAAATCGCAGAGGTCTAAAGCACAAATTGAAAATAAAGCAGTATTGGGGAATTGTCACTAAGCCTTTTCAAAAAGACAGGAAGACTATTCCCAAAGCAACAAGCCATGTAATGAAATTATTCACAAAGACAATATTTTGTTGCAAATATTTACTCAAAAAGTGATAATTTACAGCAGTGCTTTAACAGCTGTTCAAAACAGTTAACATTCATTAAAACCAAAACTAAGTCAAAAGCACATTCTGAATGTTTCAAATGGAGCAGCAAAGTCATAAGAAAAAGCTACTGTTAATCATATGCATTCCTATCTCTAGTTGCTAACTATAAAGCAAAAAAAACCCAAAAACCTAAAAAATCCAGCAGCCATCTTTGATATAATTTAGAATACAAAACGTCCTGAAATTCAACTGTACAATTCTACTTCATATGCCTTTGTGTGATTTTTGTAACAGTTAGCAAGTAGCAGCTGCAAAATGGTAGAGTGCATGCCAGTAGGTGTTTCCAGTTTGGGGGTTCTTACCTCTTTTTGTTTAAAACAGGTTTTTCGTTTTATTTTACATTAAACCATACTTTGGTTTGACTTACAGACCATTTCCATGGGTCTACTACTAAGAATAATTAAAATGGTAAAAGTCTAACAGCTACAGTACTTTCAGCAGGTTGTCCTATTTTATATGACTATATCTGGTATTTCTGCACAGCTTGCACACATAAAACCCAACAAATATATACTTTTTATTGTAATAATTCCACTTTCACTGAAAGTTTATTAAGGTAAGCTTACAGCCTGGCAGGATTACACCTGTACAGAGGTGCATAGGTTCATATAATTCTGCTTACATGCTTTTACAGACAGGAATGTAACACCAAATCCAAAATGAGTTTTGGGTTTATCCAAGCTCTCAGTAGACCAATAACCATTGTTACAAGTGTGCTCAATTTCAGCATCAGAACCAAATTTATACTGATTTTTGCTGTTTAGGGATATTTGTGGAAAGATTTTTAAAAGTCTGTTCTTGACTAACAAATCACCAAATTCCAGGCAAGTTAAGCTTGAAAATTCCTCCTTTCAAGTACCAGTTTAGCAATATACACCTCAACCAAGGGACCAGAAGTTTATTCAGTTGTATATATATGTAAACACTATTTTCATATGTAAATTTCCCTTTTGTGTCTTTTTTTAATCATTAGCATCAATGAGCACACTCATGAGGAATGGTCCATGGTGTTCTTAGCATTATCTATAATAAATGGAACAAAATATTAACATAATTTCAGCTTGCTTCATTTTCATCTGTCTTGTTTACAGTTGTTTCCATTCTGCTGGGACTGCTTTCTTTTGAAGTCTCATCTGTTTGTTCAGAGAGTAGTCCAGCTTTCTTTGATGAAGGTGCAACCTTACCTTTCTGCAGAATTTCAGTAGCTTCATGCTCTAGTACCTCTGACGGAGTCAAAGGCTCCAAATGAATACTGCCTTGCTCACTAATGTCTGAGCTAACGGATTCAGGTTCATCTCTTTTTCTCAAGAACTGCTCAAAACTAACATCTTCACCCAATGTTAGTTTTAAGTCCCTTGCTTTCAATGCTGACAATGAAGTTTCATCCAAACTACGTACTTCAGTCTGGTCATTCGAGACTGTATTGTCTGAACTTTGGCAAGTTTTCAACTCACTTTCATCATGAATACATTTTTGCTTCTCTTCTACTAATTGTTTGTTATCATCTGAATCACAAGATTTGCCTTTCTCATCCAAGACATTCCTAGAGCTGCTGTCATTGCTGTCAAGTTCCAAATTGGGAACATTCTCTGTATTTGATGAACTTTCTTCACTCTTTTCAACTGATGCAATCTGGTTAGTTTGATTTCTGTTGTGTTCTTTTGTTTCCTCTGAAGAGTCATATTCTTGTTTGCTGAAAAAAGAAACACACAAATAAGTTATTTTTATAGCAGGTAAAACAAAACAATGTAGTTGTATTCTGAAAGATGATACTCCAAGTGGTTTAACAATTTCTCCTTTCAATCTTTCTCAAGTTTTCAAAGCAAGATGAACTGAATTTACATTTTTCTTACCTGTTACAATTAAACTATTTAACAGTTGCTTAGCATTTTTTAATTCCTGCATTTCATCGCTAGAAATGAATATTTTGAGGGTCAAATTGTCCCCTTTTTATGACAGGTATGGTTTTTCAAAATACAACATTAGTAGTACTCTCTAACTGCACAGCCTTTTTGACACTGATACAACTGTATGCAGGACAACTCTCTTAAATTCTGATGATATACAAAGCAAAAGAATCTAATCCATAACTTTATATTGTCAATTTCTCTCTGCATTATTAACAGGAGTTAGAAAGAAGCTAGCAGCTAAAAACCTATATTCACTGAAATTGAGAAGTTAAATGAGTAGCTAGAAATCTGAAGGGAACCTGAAGTAACATTTTTATACTCACTTTTCAGAGTAAAAGCAAATGTCGGTCAAAAGGCAATACCAAATTACGCACATAAAATTTTTTATTATATAGCAAATATCTAATACACAGTATACAAACTCTATACACAAAATAACTGATTAAACCATGTTACTTCAATAAAGCTACATGCAGGGCTCTAAAAAGACCAGACAAAAATAGAATGCTGTACAGACTGAACTGTATACTTCATCTGCCACCTGTAACTACAGAAATTCAAAACAGTCTATTCACATAATACATGCAATGTGCATTTATTCCAGTAGTCAAAAATCCTAAATAGTAGCTTCTAATATTTCTCCTCATTTGTGATAGGAACAGCTACTTTCCCCACCCCTGCAGTAACAGAACTCAAATTTTCTTTGCAGGTTGTGATTTGATAAAAAGCTGAAAATCATTTCTAATCTATTCTACTTTCTTCAGAATGAAAAGACAGAAGAACTACTTACAGAAATAAATTCCATATAAGAAGTTAAATTAGGAACTAGCAAGTCCCATAACTTTTAAATCTAAAAGAAAAATATCTTAACAGTAACATGCAGCTAAAAAAGTGAGAAGAGATCATATGAAATTTATAAAAATGACTTTCTATCCTTTAAAATTAAAATTGCTTCAAGTTTAGTTTCTAATTATTTGTTAAAAAAGTTAAAAAAAAAATAATTTCTTGAGTAGTGTAACTGTAGGAAATTACTTCCTGTTAAAATCATCCTTAACATGGGGTTTCAAATCTCTTCAGGAGAAGAAACAGAGTGGTGCCACATGTCTAGACAAGTAAGAGTTTAGCACATAACTGTTACCCTGAAGCAACAGACAAACAGTACTGATTTCCTGCTATTAGGCCTCTTACAGTGTATTTGCAAGCTGGGTGTCTCACTGTTACTTTACTGATAACAGCAATTAAAAAAATCCACTATGCTAAATGAATTTTACAGAAAACAGTTGCAGTTATTCTAGTGCAGCTGCTACTTTCTACCAATATTCAGAAAAATGTTTTTAATTTCTACTTTTACTGAAAGAAGCTAATTCAAGAATATTCCATACCCTGCTTTAAAACAGAAAATATTTTGAGCAGGAAGAGACAGAGATTCTCGAAAGGTGAAATCTTATCAGTCACTGAGGTAGCAGTCTCCTTACTCAGTCACAACCTGTATTTTCTAACTACTGCCAGGCCACAAGGGGTTTTGCATTTATTAAGCTTTTCTGAATTTCCTATTATGCTATCAAAACCAATACAGAATATTCTCCCAAACTCAAAATTTCTACCCAAATTACTCTCTTCCTGCTCAAAGAGTACCAAATTGCTCTTCCCTCTTTCCTAGAAAAGCGGAAAAAAACAGGCCAATCTGATGGACAAGATAGGATTAAATTCCAGCACAAAAAGCTGTCTCCACCCAGAATCACCTGCCAGCTGCGACTTATATAACTGATCCTGCTGTAACTACTAATTACTTCACCTCTTGTACAGAAGCATTAGGAAAAGCTGTACCTCATGTAATAAGTCTTAAGCTAGAGAGTGTTACAGACTCTAGTAAGTAATTAGAATTTTTTCACATGAAAGCCAGCCATTTGTCACAAACAGTCACTGTTTATGAAACAGTGTATGTATGTGTGCTTTAGCTCGTACTTTTCAGCAAGCATGCATGAGGACGGGATACTATTACAAAGTGAGCAATTTTGTACAAAGGTATATGAAAAATGGGTGTAGATAGATTATTAGTGCTTCATTAGTACACACTCAGAGAGAAGTGTTTCCAGGCTGGAAATCCTAAACGAATTTTTAACATGTACTTATACACATACACGCTGTACATATACACAAACATGTGAACACACACACACAATGTCCGCAAGGAAAACTCCTCCAAGCAGATACCTGCCTTGAACATATGGAGGGAATCCACCAATCTCCCTCACAGCTCTAGTCATCAAAATCCAATCTTTGCCCAAGCCCTAAACTCATTCCCACACATTTGGTGAGGTAGCAGAACTTACAATTCAGCAGAAGTTAAGAGGATGTGAAAAATTCTACAGAAAAAAAAAATCATACACCTTTAGAAAGGCTGTATTAAAGATAATTTTACGTTCACTTGCACTGTAGTTGCAAAGGTGTGTGCATACACATATTCACTCAGTGAAAAGAGTATTTCCAGGAACAAAACCCATATTAAAGCTGCATTCACATTAACACAACAGTGTGGTTTTGAGGAAAACGCCTTCATTGTTCTCACTTAGCACTTACTGGTTGTGTTTGCAGAAGAGTTCTAGTACATGCACACTTTTTGAACAAAACCCAGCTATAAGATCTGCTGCAGAAGTCCACCAAACAGGCTGCATCCCCTAAGGAAGCTGCATGCGCAAAAGCCCAACAACAGTCCACATTTTGGCACCAAAGTCTGGTTCAAAGAAAATCCTCTGAATCACAACACAGCAAAGATGCAGCCTCTTCAGAATGAACTGTTCTGATCTGCTCCTGCAGCACTGAATTCAACATTGCATGTTACCATAGCTGCTTTGGCTTAAAAGGAGAATGAAAGGTGAAGGGGAAAAAAAATGTTTGAGGACTGAAAAGCTCTAGTGCAAGAGCTGTACGTTCTAGTCATTTCTGCCTTGAAGCCACTGAAATGTTAAGACTGCATGGAGAGAGAAAGAAAAAAGAAGATATTACCTCCTATTTAGCTTCTCTCTCTAATGGAGATTTTGGTCTTTAACCTAGTGTATAACAAATTTAACATTCAATGTTTTCAAATACTGTATGTATAAAATAGATAAGGATGAAGACAGCTACAGTAAGAAAATAATTTGATAATCTGAAATCAATTTCTGAAGTTATTTAGAGCTTCAATGCACTTCAGAGTTCCAGAAGAGAATTACAGAATTCTTAAATGTTTTATTGGGCTACTTTCCTGGGGGCAGAGGCAGGGGCAGAAGAAGGCTTAAAATGGCTAGCAGCATTTTTCTACTAGTGTTTCCTATAATTCTATAGGAAGAATAGATCAATCCTCTCCTCATTACCATGGCCTTACAAATCATAGGCCCTATGAATCATAACTGAAACAAAGTATAGTTCAGTACAGTATTGGAAGTCTGAAATTAATCTGTCACGATGTACACTGCAGGGCAAAAAGCTGCATGATGCCTAACGAAAACATGATGGAAAGAAAACAAAAAGATTTTGTTTTACTCTAGATTTCAAACATCTAGTATAACCCAACTACCCAGAAAAAAGAGTTGTAGTTTACCTCACAGCAACTATACTGACCTCCAGCTCCTATTTGGAGGAGATACTTCCTTGAAAATACCTTCAAACACAGTCCATACATTAGATTAGCTATAAATTATTTAAATTCCTTAACTTCTAAAACCACATTAATTAAACAGCTTATCACAACATCACTAAAATTGATTTTTCGTGTTTAAGAAAATGCTATAAGAGATAGCAGGAAGCCTGTCTCCTACAAAACCTTCCTAGGTCATCACTTTAACAAAATCTAACCTTTCAAAGGTTTCCTGCATTAAAAACAAAAATCCACCAACCTGAACAAAAAACTCAAAATTGCTTATGTCTGTATCTTCTTTGTTGATCCTGCATTAAAGCCAAGTTTAATCTGCTGAAGTATGATGCTCCCTCTGTTACATTTAAATAATGCCATTAATCATAAGTTAAATGATTCACGACTTCAGTGAGCCTTAGTGGCTTTCTACAAGGTACAGAATACTTGCGACAGAACAGTTTTTATCAACTTAAACTTTATGAAGAATGCACAGCTAATACTTGGTCTGATGTCTACCGTATTTACCTTCCTAAATTAAGACAATAAAAAGTAGCATTTCAAGAGAACCTTTTCAATACCTTTAACACACTGGTACTCCATACACCACATATTAACAGTGATGTCCTAGCAGGCAAGCAAAAACTGGTACTGCAGTATAAACCTCCATATATGATTTTAATTATTACATCTTAATTCACAAAAAATGGCAAAAATAAGAAACGAGAAATTGGTTTACAGGAGCATTCCTGTGTTAGCTCTGTAAAAATGTGCATCTAATTAACAGTAAGAAAACCATTAAAGTAAATCAAACGACACATTTTTCAGGTCAGGGCCTTGGAATACTCTGAAGTATTTAATCATTGAGTAGCAACACCAGTAAAAGATGAACCAGCACCTAATATTTAGCTTAGCTTAACTGCTTTAATGATGAAGAGCAATTTGTTTAAAAGGAGCCCCTAATCACAGTTTCAAAGAATAGAATAATTTAGACACAAATAAATCAGACAGTGGATAGCCAACAACATGCTTAGCGGTCGTCTTCTCCAAGCAAATGAGAAGCAAGTCACCAGAATACATGGGTATTGTATTGGATGCAGAGCTATACATGGTTTACTACATTTTTATTTTACTTGATCCCATTTTGCTGGACTTTTGGGCAACACATTTCAATAGCTTATAAGACAAAACTGATACATTCACATTATTTTTGAAATGAATATATTAACATTTTTGATAACCACATCTTTGTTAATAAGTTTAGTTTGGATTACTGATCTGTTCCTATATATATTAAAGGTTGAGAAAGTCTTTTAGAAGACACTTCCTTCTTTTTAACATATAATTCACAGAAGCGTCGTAAATGGACATTATGATACAGCTCACCCTGTAATGTTCCCAGCAATTCTATATGGCAAGTCTTAAATCTTTCTGAAGGGCTTCATCTCCTACAGCTCTCAAACAGCAACCCAAGGCCAGGTACTTCCCAGCTCCAGAGGAGCTATAGGTACTATAGCTCCAGAGGTACTATAGCTCCAGAGGTATAACAGTGCACCATGAAAATCAACAAAGATGGTGATCATCTCTGGTAAGGACAGCCAGTTAACCCACGCCTATAGAGTAAATTCAAGATTGCTACAGAAATCACCAAATATTTGGCTTTCTATATAAAAATAACCTTCTCTTGAAGAACCATGAAAAGCGACCAACCAAAAGAAGCAAAAACAAACCAAAGGAAGACACATTCCCCCACTCAAAAACCAAGCAAGGATACTGCTCATAATAACAAAAGAAAAGCTCATCATAAATATGGACAACTTGATAGATAAACTTGCCATAGATAAGCTAGACCTATGGATGAAGGTGGAAGCAGTGGAATCAAAAGCAGCAGATATCTCAAGCACCTTAAGTTGAACATTCTTGAAGATGAAGGATGATACCAAAGAACAAAGAATGAATGAATGCAGTTTCTCAACCTTCAGAGTCAAAGTTCAAATATATCTGATTCCATCATATACTTTCCTCCTACTGGATCTAGGAATCTGGAAACTTTTCTACCAGAGTCAACAGCTGAAAATTTCCTTTGGCCAAGATTCAGTTTATACAGTTACATGTTGGAAAAGATATCCAAAGTATATTTTGCTACTGTATACTGTAAAGCCTTAACAGGCAAAAAACACAACTTACTTGAATATTCAACAGATCAGGACATGCATATTTTAAGTGAATACCCAGAGAGAATGACAAAGCCCTTTACTTTCAGAAGTTAGGGCAAACCTCAGAACAAAATGGGCTGTGGTCTTAAACCCACATCCTTGCGCGTATGCTACTCTAACTTGGGATGATACTGATAGATTTGAGGAGCAAATGAGCAGAGAAGAAACAATGCATCACATAAATGAAACTCCCTTCAAAGGAGCATATCCCCAAAAGCTGTACATTAATGCTGCGAAGCAGAGAACAATACCACAGAATTCCCTTTGCCGAACTACAGGGTTGGAAGAAAAGACCAGACCTGCTGCCTGCAAGATGCAAGAAGAGAACACCACAGCTCCAATGCGTGAAGAAAAAGGAAGGATCTGGTATGGATGCTTGTTCGCTTACATACCAAAATAATCCCAAGCTGGACTGGGTTCACTTTTCTGCTCCACAATGATGTATCAGTGAGCCAAGACTGTATAGGATACCTGCTCACTTTCAACTCCCCTGCAATAAAAATGTCTACTGTCAGTTCATTTAAAAAACATGTTAACTGTTTAACTGTTGTGTAAAACGGAGTTGAGCATTAGAAGAGTATTGGCACGGTTACTAAGCTCTATTCCCTCAGCACAAGATGGATCACCAAACAACAAACAGTGCACATTGATGCCCAGGAACAATTTAGAAATAAGTTCCTGCTGGAAAGTGTCAGAATTTCAGCCTAAAGACAGTCCCACTAACAATATACAAAGCCTGTAACACTGAGTTGGTCATTTGCAATAAAGATGAGTTCTACAACATGTGCAGCCTGATGTATATTAGAAGAAAACAGTAAAAGATCCGAGAAACACAAGAACCAACAGAAATGTTCATTTCAAGAGCGTAGTGTTCACTGTGTCCAACAATGAAGTTATTCTCAAGAGCCTTGCAAAGAAGTCTTATCTTATCAAATTATAGGTCAAAGAATGGGGAAAAAGCTCACACATCACAGAGAAACTACATGGCAGAAGTTCTCCATATTGCCTGAGAGTTCCTGTTCTTCCAAAGCTAATCAGAGAACACTACAAATCACCTATGCACACATTTGATCTCGTATATATCCTGTACTGCAAATAACAGATACAAAAATTGGGCAATGCTACACAGGTATGTTCACGCTGTCTTTGGCTCAGAAACGCTCTTGTCCAAAGTAACAGAAAGTTTGAATACAGAACAGGACAAGACTTACTGAAGTTAATGAAGTCTATAAACATGACAATTCAAAAATATCATTATATATATCAACTCAAGGAGTCACAATTTTATACCATCAGCAGAACTCTCAAGCATAATCATTATCTGTCCTACACTAATAGCTCACGAAAACAAGCCCAAACATTCTTGACTCTCAATCTCCTTGCTGCTCACCCACCTTTTTCTGAGTAATACACACCTTGGATATCCAACATTTTTTACGACATCTCCGTAAGTGTATCCAAGGCAGCAAAATCCTTGTGCACTAATGATAAAAGATTGCTTCTTCCTCAATTATTTTGTGCATTTTTTAATATATATATAATTCAGCATGTAATACCACCCAAAGGCTAATGCCGGATTTTACTAGAAAACTTAAGTTTGTCACACTGCTCAATACAGTTTTCCTGCATTTTTGTCTCACTGTTTTACAAACTGGAAAGGGTACAAGCAACCCTGTGTTAACAAGACAAATGTAACACCCTCATAACCCATCCTTTCCAGTGTTTTGTACGGCTTGAATATTCTGTGCTCCAAAATAATGAATTTCATTTTTAACAACTTTTTGCAATGGTTTCCTGAATTAACTTTTTTTCCTGTTCTTTCTTGACAGAACACTAATTTAATGTCTATTAGTCTTCCCACCAGATCACCAGTTTCATCAAATTATATCTTAAACTACAGAAACTCATAATCAGAGGCTCAAAATTCATAGCATATATTCCTCACAGCCAGAGAGGGGCATTTGCATGGTTAGATCTTAAGAGATATTTCAGTATCTACTTTTCCTAGTTACTACACCGAAACTTGAAAGAAAATGTATCACACTTATCAAATAATTTGCCCACTGAAGATGCTTCTCTCCAACACTCAGTGAAGACTGACCTATACTCAGATCCTAAGAACTTTTCTCCCCTTTGGAAATCTTCTCATCCAATATATTGTGGCTGTTATAATTACTCAGGATTACCTTATCCCTTTTTTAATGTAGTTATTGAAACCTTGTTGTTAAACATGGGTTAAATTATTTTCTTTCCTCCTTAAAAAATCCATTGCAATTTATAAAAAAAAAATCTGAGTTTTTTGTATTTCAGTTAACATCACATTTTTTGTAATTCTATTAAAATAAAGAAGAGGAAATATTAATTTGATTAGTATTCAAAACAAGTTGAAGTAACACTCTTCTCTAGGTCAAGACTTAAGCTCACAACTGAGAGGTGCTAACACTGCAAGAACTATTCACATGTCATGTGTCTTTGGCTAAAGAGTAAAAAATCCTGATAGTAGTTTTGGCTACATTAGGTAATCACTTACAACCCCCACTCCTGTACCTCCATGCCAAGAGCAAAACACTAAGTAAATTATGTACAACTTTACATTTTAAATTCCAAGAAGTTCAAGAACCACCCAAATGCGAAGTGCAATTTTTGACCATTTGTCACTAACTTAATGGAAATAAAAACATTAAGTGTTGAAACAAAACTTACTCAGATACTTGTTCAGCAGTTGGGAACTCTACAGAAACTGGAAAAAAGAAGATTTAAAGATATTTTTCAATATGGAAACACACATGTACTTTCAAGCATACAGGCACAAAACCAATGTAAACACAACCAAAAAAGGACTGTAGTAACAGACACATACCATGTGTAAATATTTATGTACACTATGTGAAAAAGACACCATACACACTCACCTTTTTCTATAACAACTTGACAAGTATGAGTATTGTTTTCACTCAGATGTGTGGCCATGTTATCTAAGCCAGAAACATCAGTCAGGAAATCACAATTAAGACATACTACAGTCAAACCTCTAGAGAAGGAGAAAGTAAAAGAAAGCATAAATACTACATGCTTATGAAAAGATTTTACTTGATTCACAGCAACTGAACAGTTTATACAAGAAACACTCACGCAACGTTGGATAAATTGTGTCATAAAAATATTGTCTATATGCCTAGAAATCCCAGGACATTTCTGTGAAATGCCATATGAATCAAGAATGGCACTTCAGACTAATTTATCTGCAGAAGTGCAAAAACATTTCTTCATGTGGCACAATATGAATATTTGGAAAATAAAGGGAACTCTCTGATTTGACCAAGTAATTAAGAGCTGCAGATAAACAACAAGTATTTGCCTCTGAAGAGAACACTGTCAATCTTAGAGCTAAGGTTTCTATTTTCCTGCTCTAAACTATGAAAGGTTAGAAATTCAAGAGGTTCTTACCTCATTTAACCAATCAGCTCACAGTAAAAATACCCTTACTTGTAACTCAAAGGAAATTACCTTAGCTCTTCTGAATGCTTCTTATAGATCCAAAATCTTTTACTCGGACGAGCACTATGAAAACTGAATAGAAGAAAGCATTAACACTTAAACTGATCTTCAGTATATTTTTTCCATATATCCCCTATACTGTTAAGTGGTAAAGCATGAAAATGAACCTGCATTACTGTAAAAAGATTTCTGAAGACCTACAGGTCTGTTAATCTCATCTATAACTCAAAATTCTAAAGTTAAAACTGGCAATGTGACTTCTAGTTATTTCAGCTTAAAAAGGAAAATAAAGTCTGTTCAGGAAACAAACAAAAAAAGAAAAACTCCGAACACCTGATGCAGCTTCTGCTGCTGAATTAGCATCAAGGAGACATGAAAGAGAAAGGACTGGCTGTTCTGCTGCATGGTTTAGTATGAGATCATCCAGTGCAGGGGCAAGAGGAAAAGCTCTCCTTAGATTCACCTTTCCCATTCTGGAGTAAGCTTTTTTTGAACTAAGCTAAGCAGATTTTTTTCCTAAATACATAACCCAAAACTTATATTTTTTAAAAGCATGGAAACCATTTCAAGCGATAACTTTTATGAACACTGATATTATGAATAAGACAAGAATTGAACAGTTCCAAAATTCCAGAACACTATGTACTTGTATGTATTTAAATATACACTTTCATGCTGTTTCTTTCTGCAAGACTTCCGACTGGCTCAAGGCACAGGATTAACAAGCAGGTTTTCAAAACTGCTGTAGGATCTATGTCTAATTTATTGCATAGTATATTCCTGTTGCTTTGAAAACATACAGATTTGTTTTCTTAATAGTTTTTCAATAGCTGTCATCAGTAGTAACCTGCATTGCTTTAATCAGCAAGAAATCCCTTGCAAGATGAGATGGTATTTTACAGCTGATGACAAGAAAGTTTAAGAAAAAGTATCCATTTGAGTATGTTGAGACATCCATTACATGGTATTCCAAGCACAGATTTCACTAGCAATAGCTGTAGCTTTACATGTTTAACACTTCAGATTAGTTTTTAAGTCTGAAACTCAGAAAATAATCAACAAGCAATTAGTAATTACTTGTAAAGCCTGGTTGAAATGACTGGGACAAGTTCCATGGAGATTCTGGAGCAAAGACAGAAAATACCTCAAGTGTAGGATTTTTAAGGCAGAATGAGGCCCTCAATACAAAGTGAAAACTCAAGTTTACATATTTCCATGCAAGTCCCATGACCCAGATCAAAAATTCAACACAAACACTTAAAATAATTTATATGAATGTAAACAGTATTTTATATATATTTTATGTGATAAATTTGCAGAGGAGTCCTTACCTCATCATGTGATTCACATAGGCTTTGCTACAACTAGTGTTGTATCTGCATAAGCTACAATGGACATAAGCAGGGAAGTGGCTTGCAAAATCTTTTATTTCTGAGAAACACTCAATACATTTGTGAGATCCCAAACGATACCTAGCAGTTATACAAAAATAGGTTAATAATTAACAGTAACACTTTAAGATGACATAATTACTTCAAATTTTTACTTAAAAATCTGTAACAAGGCTGTTTTTTCTTTAGTTATATCACCATAATCTTAATCACAAAACAATATATAATCTAAGCATCTGTTTGCCACTGCTTGTCATACCACTTGGAAACAAGATATGACCCTAGATGAGCAACTCTGATCATAGTTGCTGCTTCTGTCTTTATATTCTTTAAACTGATTTCCGAAGAGGTGTTTCATATATTATGATGTGTAGAGAAGCCTGTGGTTTTCTTGTCCCTACCACTTCTGATATTCCCCACAAGTTTTGAAACATCAACAAATCAAAAACGCAAAGTCTGCCATTCCCAATTTTGCAGACTGTTTTCAGGTTTCTCAAAGATGTGTGTGCATGCGTGCAGATACACACACGTATACCTAAAATGTATGCATACACACACACGAGTGTTAACATCTTACTGAAAGGCAGCATCTATCATCTTTAACAAAGACAACTACGAACTTAGGTTATCAAATGCCATTATATTCTAGTCTATAAAACACCCGCTAAGTTATCAAAGTAAGAATAGTGTACAACCCATAGCTTCTCACCTCGATTTTTTTAGTAGCTGTCCAAATCAAAGTGCCTCCTAGAGGCAGACAAACTTAAATTAAGTATTCTAGTAAAACTCCTACTTTGAAGGAAGAAAATTACCTTTCCCTTCAAGAGGAAGCTTAAAAAGAACACCTGGGCAAATGTATTCCCCTATACAGATAACTTTCAAGTATAAATTTGTCTGACAAGTTAGTATTTCAATAGTCTGTGGCTTTTGATGTATAGGAAAAACTAAATTTAGAATACAGAATTTTCCACAGCATCTGTTCATCCATCCTATTTATCTGCCACAGAAGTTAAGAGGAAAGCATATTCAGAATCATAATCATAGTACCACTATGCGAGAAGTTTCTTTATGAGTATTCTTCCCACAAAAGCCATGTCAAATTTTCTATACTGTAGTATTGAAAATCATTTAAAAATAATGAGCATTTATACTCAAGAGTACATAAAAAATATATATTTTACCTCAGATTATATAATGCTGTATTTGCAACTTTATTTTTTTTTTTGCTGCTACTGTTGGTCCACGCATTTTGTCTCTTGGATACAGTTGATGGCTTTGATCTTCCTTTTGACTTATTTGCATTAGATTTTCTACTGCTTGTATTTTTAGCTTTAGGTGATAACTGAAATGTTGATGTGCTCGTACTAACAGAAGATGAAGCAGATGATCCTGATTGAAGAGCTCCAACAGATGCTCGAATTGTAACCTAGAAGTATGAAATTAAAAATTGTTCTCTTTAGATTTATTTTTTTTTTCAATTCTCATCTCCATTTGCACTGAAGTTTGAGCCATCTTAAGATAAAAATAAGTATGTTTTACACAGTGTAAAAAACTCCAGGTGATAAAGCAGGTTTTGAAAAATATGAAACAATGTGTACACACACAAATTTAAACTAAGTCATTAAGCCAGGCTTAAACAACCTCCTGGCAAGGCCTGTGGCCTGAGCAGCCTGGGCCTCGCAGCTCCCCGCAAGCAGGCGTCTCCAAGCAAGGCAGCTCTGAAAGAGCTGCTTCCCCCTGGCTTCTTCACACATCTGGTGTACCAGGGGAGAAAACACTCACAGGTTAAGGTGTATAAGGTGGTCTCAGGCAAACACAGACCTTGGGGAAGGGCTGCAAAGACGGAGCCATTTTGTGTTTTATCTGCACTCAAGCAAAATATGCACTTAAAATTATGCTACATGTGGCTAGCAGAGCACAGGGAGGCTGAGTGCAATGGGGATAAGGAGGGGCAGTCATTGTGGAGCGGGGAGGGTGGGACTGTTTCAGTGCTGGTTTATGCAGCCAAAAGTGATATTGACATGTGTATTGACATATGAGTTAGCCTTGCACCAGGTTAGAAAAAATGAATAGAGGCTTCTAAGTTGCATAAAATTAATTATAGAGGGTATTCCAGAGAGGTTACAGAATCTCCTTCTTTGGAGATATTCAAAACCCGTCTGGATGTGACCCTGTGCCCCGTGCTCTAGGTGTCCCTGCTGGAGCAGGAGGGTTGGACTAGATCTCTAGAGGTCCCTTCCAACCTCAATCATTCTGTGATTCTGTGTGATTCTGTAAGGAATCTATTTCCAGGAAAGAGAACTTTAAGCAGCCCATAGACCACCTTGACAAAACACACCACTCTCATCAGCTCTGCTGACTGCAAACTGTTTTCTTAAAGAAAAAAAGCAAAGCAAAAAACCATCTCTCAAAGCCCCCACCTCACTGAGAAAATACAGGAGGGTGAACTAGCTCCACAAGGAAAATCTCATCAGTTTTCTGATAAAATAAAACCACTGTTGTCTTATCGTCTCCTGACCAGCAAATCTACTTACTACACATATTTTTGACCTTCATTCTAGCCCCTACCCCATGCTGTGAAAGGCGAATTCTGATTCTAACCTCTTGTCTAACTTTTCTCTCTCTTGCCTTGTCCTTTGGCTATCCAGCTTTCACTAACAGCACGACTTAAATTCTACTTCTTGCCTCAGCTGTTTTTATGGTTCCAAACTTTCAAGCATTATCAAGGTCCTGTCAGAGTCTACCATCAAAAATTTAAAATAAAACTAAGCTTTCCTTACAGCTCCAAGCCTCTTAAATCTTTAGAAAAATTGAAACATTATCACAGAACACAGAATCAGTGCTTCACATGGTCATGCAACTATCAACATCAATGATTTTCCTTTCAAAGCAAAACAGCACTCCGACAGGAAATGAAGTATGAGGAGTTGATCAACATGTTCCTTCACTTTTTAATTTCAACTGAAAGAAAATAAATCTTCACACTTTATTAAAAAACTGGAGAAAAAAATCCTGAAATCTACAGGAAAATTCTAATCTAATTTGTTGCTCCTCAAGAAACAGAAGAAAAACTTAAAGACAGCCTAAGTATTCTCAAGCAACCCTGATTTTCTTCACAATACATACAGCAAATTGTTTGCTGTACTACTTCGTAGCGCTGAGGCTAAGTAGCCCTGGGGCACTCAGTGCTAACTAGGATCACCTATACGGAGGAGCCTACTCTACATGATTCGTGGCACTGCATGCCACAGGTTGACAATGTTTCACGGGAAGTGACACACATCCCTGAGACCACCAGCTAGACTACATGATCTGCTCCTAGTGCAAGAGCAGATAAAACGAGAAAGGGACAAAATAATCCATAGCTCAAGAAACCAGCAGTCACGGTTGGACTATTTTCAGTTACATAAAATGACAATTATATAACTATATATTCATATGGATGTGAGTGTGTGTACATACATATGAGTTCAATATACATGCATGGAAAAGACAACAAACAAAATGACCAGTAGAAAATCACAACCAGCATATCTAACAAGTCTTGCAATGGGGAAGAAATTAAGCTGTTTTGGAGGTGGCAAAAATTTCACTGCTTTGAAAAGAAAGGGGGAAAAGTACTTTCTTCCCCAGCAAAGTATGTATCTTCCTTGTGCCCCTTTTAGAGTGCGTGTGTGTGTATGTGTGTGTCTTACCTTTGTTCCAGGAGGCAAACCTTCTAACTGCTTAGGTTTCCTAAACGTTCGATGATGCTGGGTCTTGTGATCCATTTTTTCCTTGCATGTCAAAAACTGCAGCCTGCATTTAGTGCAACGGTATATTCCTTTTTTCTTTTAAAGAAGAAAGAAAATTTGTAGCAAACATACATAATACTAAACAGAACTCCAACCCTATTCTGTCTCAAACAATAACCATGAAGTTTTTTCAAAATCGACCTGAAAAACTCATAATATTGTAAAAGCCAAAAGGGTGTAGTAATTAAAGAGAACATTTACACATTTTAAAAGTGCAAGGCATACTATTGCTGAGAAGAGGAGTAGTCAGGTTACAACATTCAAAAAACACACTACTTAAACCTAAAGATTACTACTACTGTTAAAAGCTGAACACTACAATGCCAAGAACGAGAACAGAGAAGACACCCTCTCAAGTGCATGCACGGGTTAAGCAGAGATCTGCTCTCATACAGCATACTTGGAAATATGAAAAAAACCTAACAATTTAAGATTCTTTCAAAAGAAAGAGTCAGGTTTTCCGTACTGTATCTTAAGTATTCTTACTAATAACCATACAAGTTAATCCACTTTTTTTAGAGCAACACATGTGGAAATTATATAAAATTTTCTAGCATTAGAAAATGAGAAGAACTGCTTACCTGATGCCTCATGTAGTGATGCATGTATGGTGCTCCAATTTTTATTACTTTGAGACAAAATGGGCACAACAAATGTTTTGTATTTTCATGAACTGTTCGGAAATGTGTTTCTACATCTGAAAAAGCTGAGGATCGATAATTGCATACCTAAAAACAGAAGTTTTACTTTCTTGTTAAAAGTTTATTGATGGGAAAAGCAGACCAGGGAGTGGGGAACGTAATCTAAAAACAAAACCAATCACACTGAGATACCTGGCAAACATATGGCATTTCACCTGGCTTGTGATTGTCCTTCATATGTTGCAAAAGAACTTGCTCTGTTTCAAAGGATAATTCACAGATTTTACAAATAGCTAGAAAAATTAAAAAAAAAAAGTTAGTTCTGGGGCAAAATTGGGTAAATGGTAATATTTTTGTATGCATAAATTGTATTAATTATCATGTTAACACAATTCAAGCATTATTCTGTTCTTGAAATTCCCTGAACAACTTCAGGAAGCCCCAGGTCCAAGCCCCTTAATTAACAAGAATTCTTGCAATCAAGCTTTATTTACAAAAGAGAGGAAGAGACAAAAACACTCTGGAAGTTTTTTTTTTCAGAAACTTTCCTCCAAAGCTGAAGAACTGCACAGCTCCTATGTTAAATCTCAAAGCAACTGCTTTTAAAGTATATCTGTTCACTACAGCTTTATTCTTAAATTACAACTTGTCAAGAAAAAGCCAGAAAATACCTAAAAAGTTTTAGGACCGCAAGAAGATTGAAAATGCTACAGTCTGACTTACTAGATGACTCATAAGGCGTGTGTGTGCTTTCAATGTGGCACTGCAGCTGGAAGGGGGTGGGAAACTGGCGGTAGCAGTGCTGGCAGGTGGTGTGGCTTTCCCAACTTTCACTGCTCTGCTTCTCGAGCTCTAAGTGATGTTTCATATGGTTCATAAACCTTTAAAAGACAGGGAACAGGTGCAAAAAGCTACATTTTAACAAATGTTATATATGAGAATGTCACATGTAGGATGAAGAAAAATTTTTAGAAACCTTGTAAGCACTTAATTTCTAAGTATTATTAGAGCAGGCATTCATTACAGTTAAGCAAGCTGACTAGGCCAGAGCTAATCTTTCAAAATTTCAAAACGAAATATTGACTACTATTAGAAACACAAAACTTACCTGAAACACGTTCTAAGAAGGAAGCATTTTATTATATTTTTCATTTCATTTTATTTTTCAGGTTTGCTGGGTCAGGTGTCTTGCCATGAAGTACAGGGAAATTAGCAACAAAACATACAAACTGTCCACTTTTTAAACTTCTCTGTGAATGTTTCAATACCACATTATTAAATAAGGATCATTCTGGCTCTGCTGTAAGCTATTAAGCAGCAAGACATTACCCACAGTGAGGACATGCACACCCGAATCTACCTCTTTTCAGGGTTCCAACAGATTTCCTTGCATAAAACACTTAGGATAGAAGAATTATGAAGCACAGTTAAACGATGCCAGGATGCAGATGGTAATCCAAATAGTATCGCAAACCTGGCAGTATGATGTCAGCTACATCAGAAAAATCAAATACTCAAGGACAGGCAAGACAACAGAACACAAGCAAAGTAAGAACATCTCAGTACTAAAAGTTATCGCCTTTCCTTTGTTAAGGCATGCCCACCTTTCTGTAGGAAAACCTATCTTAGCACACATGTCCTGCTCATGACTAGAAATTGGCAGGTGACAGCTCCTTGTGGAGCAGTAAGTTGTGACAAGGACAGGTTAGTTGCACAGACTACTACAGTTCACTCAACCATCCTGTTTTGTATAGGCTTCATTTCAGTACAGCCAGAAGAACCGGTAAATACATATCATGCTCCCAGAAGAAATGTATTTCTCAACATGGTAACCTTGGAATTTAAAAACAGCATGGTCTCTTACTCTGATAAGGAGAATATTCGTTACACCTCAAGCTTCCAGGATCAGAAGAGAAAAAAAAAAAAAAAAAAAAAAAAAACACACACACACACACACACTCTAACTCTAGATATAAGTCGGCATACTTCAGCAAAAGAAAGGAACTGATACTATTATCGCATTAATGCTTTGATAGACCACTACTTCAGTGTTGTGTTCAATACTAACTCTTTTAAACGGGATGGGAAAATGAAGATGTAAATTTTCTGAATTAAGGCCCAGAAAACTTTCATTAGAGGTAAAGACAAATGACTTTTTTGATACAAAAACAGTTAAAATAATAAATCTTGGAAGAAAAAAATGAGTTTAGGTACAGATCTACTGCAAGATTAATATATATGAACGCGGATTCTATAGAAATCCAAACAGAATTGACACAGTCATTGTAGCAGCTTGCTCTGAAATGTACAGTGATGATAAAAAACAAAAGCTCCTACACAATGCCAAGAAGAAAATATTGCAAGAAAAATTATCAGAAAGAAACTCAAATATTCTTAAAAAACCCAACCCACAACCTTATGCAGCAGCAGATTTTATAGAAATGGCAAGTCCATTTTCATGCATTTTGCACACTTTCTAATATAATCAAGATTTAAGATAAATTTGGTCACCCAAGTAATTGACAAAGTTGTTATCCTTTCCAACTGCAAAGTCTATTAAATAGCCTTATTAAAGCTATACTATTTCTATTAGAAACTATTAAAATTAGTACTTTAATCTGTAAAAAGTTTAAGCTACAGACATTATCTTATAGCTATTAGCAATCATAAGAGACTTCAAATACCTTATGTTATTTTTAAGAACTTTCAGGCAACTGAAGCACTTAAAAGTTGTATGAGTCTTCTGCTCCTGTTGTACCTGCTGGATATCACCTTCATGTTTCCCATAATAGAAGTCATTAACTAGCATAATCAGTTTTCCTTTCTCAGATTCAGCAATTTTGCTTGTTGTGCTTGAACATTCAGTTTTGTCCACTCCCGGGAAAAAGTTATTTATCATATCTGGACAACAATACTGGGTGGAATGGGGAGGAGGAGAGAGAGGGAAAGAAGGATGAGTCTCTCTTATCAAAATGCACCAATAATGACAATGTTTTGAAAATTGGCTAAGCAAGGCTACATGTAAAGCTCCATTCCAATTAGTCTGACACAATCTGACTTGATCCCTATTCTCATGCATCTTTTGAACTATAACTGATCTTTAGCGGTGTTTAGGCAATAAACACTACATATTTTTTTTTAACACTGGAAAGGCATTATCCTCATAATCCAAGTTTAAGCCACAAATCAGAAAACCATTGTTGCTAAGTGGTGCCTTACTGATTAGAAAAAATGTATACTTGATTTAAATTTAATAATGAGGAAGAAACATAGCTTTTCTACATGTATATTGCTCGTAGGTTAGATTCACTGAGAACTTCTTGAGAAGTTTTATCTTATTCCTTTGGGAAGGACATTCATTGTAGACTGCAGAAGTTTCTTCCAGCATTGGAAAAGAAATCTGCAATTTAAAGTCACACAAGACATGTTGTTCAACTCTTACCTGAAAGTTTATATAATGCTTATAAATCTAATTGCTATAACATGGAAAACACTTAAAAAGTATCAAGAAACTCATGTAGAGAATGAAATTCCCTGAAATGGAAGACATACACCTGAGAATTGCATTAATCTTTGCCAAGCAATTAAAATATTTTTTGAGCCTAGAAACAAAAACAAGTAATTCCATAAGCAGAACACGTAATACTTAGCTTCTGAAAGCTTTGCTTCTCACAATGCTTGACGAATGAACTACCTTTTTTTTTTTCTGCTGAGTAACCTTCTCTAGCTACCAAATGACCTACCAAGGAACAGAAATAAGTTTACAGTGAGGTCTTTGCCTGAATAGCAATCAAAAACGTGGATTGTCTATTACACTTGAACCAGTAAGCATTACACCTTCACCAAATACACCTGAAACTGGCCAAAGGTTCTAGAACTAAATGCTGTGTTAGAGATAAATCATGTATATTCAGCAATTATGCCCCAATTCATTTAAAAAATAATGCCAAAGGCATGTAAAAAACATACTTCCTCTCTGTGACTGTAGAGAGGTTTAGCATTTGGACCCTGGCTGATGATAGCCAAAAGGCAAACTTTGAGACAGGGCACTTTTTCACAATGAGAAGTTCATCAAACTTTGTCATTATGTTTATCAGCACTCAAACATTTTACCTTCATATGATTTTTTAAAGGATCCATAAGATTGAAGTGAATATTGCACTTTGGACAAGCTCGTGGAAAAGGTCCTCCATTTTTCATGTTGCTTGATGCAGTATTTGTACCTGTAAAAAAATAGAACAAATTAAGCTTCAGAAGTCACAAGCAGAATAATAACTGATTTATTTGTATTTACTATTCTAATAAAACATACTATTTAAAATGAGAACTGCATGGTAGAGGTAGACAAACAATTTTACAACTATTTTCTAGCTAATCTTATTTTTTTCAAGTTCATCCCTTTTGCCTATAAAAAGGCAAATGCCTATAAACAAAACTTTCACAAAGTTTTAGAATCAAAAGAGAAAAAATGTGAGGCAGTAAAAGAAACATGTCAGACAAATATAAAGCATTAGTTCTGCCCTCCCCTTGTTCCCCCAGCATAGGCCAGATCTGGCGATTTTAAAGAGCTTCAGTTCTCACAGGAACATGCAAAAGTTCCTCCATGACATGAACTGATGATCATCACAATAGGGTTCACAATAACTGGTTTTGGAAAGGAATTTCACTGTATGGTTCTCAATAATGAGAATATCTCTGGGCAGGAGCTGAAACTTACGACTGTCCAGTTAAACATTCCTGTTGAACAAAGCTATCTTTGGAAAACCTCTAAATAATTATCCCCATTGATGAAAGGAAATAATATTTTTATTAGCAACAGAAGATGATTAATATCTATGGAAAGGGAAAAAAAAATAAAAGGACACCAAATTTGCATTAGTTCAAACTTTAATAAATAGACTCAGGTTTCTAGTTTTCTCTAAGTGCCTTTCCTTCTCCTCACTCCTTTGCTGCCCTCCCCACCCCATCTCCAAAAAAAAATAAAGAAAAGTATGAGAAAAAGAGATACTTTTGCTTATGAAATTCTCTTGCATTTAAGTCATCCACAAATCTGCAGGACTTCAGGCTAGGTAAGATTAAACACAGGAAGAGCAGAATAACATCTCAACCAACCATAGGGTCAACTGTACACTGTCACATTATGAAAAAAATGTAATAAAGAAATATACAAACACATCTGCTTTGTAACAAGTGGATAAATAAGCATAGGCATGAAAAGATGACCATGTTACAACCTCAAATTTTGTCATTAAAAAAAAAATCTTATGTAGTCCATGAGGTAGACATGGATCAAGCAGCATTTTTTCTTAAGGATAATATTATTGCCAAGAATTATGATCAAGCAAAAAGCCTCTCACAAGTGGATGACCATGCAAAAGAGATCTCACAACAGTGCTCAAGTCTTTACTATCACACTTCATAAAACATTTTGGCAAATTACAGCTAAGGGAAACCTAAGTTTGAAGAAAACAGGTTCTGCCTCAAGATCTGTTCTGTGAGGCCTTAGTGATGGATTCTAAGTTTTGTATGTTAGCAATGGGACCACTTGGGAAAACTCATTAAATCAAATTCTCAGTGAATATCATCTATTCCTTTGTTACCAAAACATTCTGGCTATTGTTTGTCTATTACAGGGTGCAACATAAGACCTATATTGTCCAACACAGCCTGAAGTCAATTTTCTTGATGCAAGACTGAATGCTTTACCTCCTGCTTTCTGGTTGCTAAGGGAGAGCCTAGTGGGAGAAGAGCTGCAGTCAAGAAATTCAACACTCCACAGGTAACTTCTTATTTCAATATTAATGTGGTAGGTTAGAAAGTAGCTGGAAATGTCCAGGAGACTACCTATCCTGTAGAAGAAATACCTTCAGAGCCTCCTGAATCTCAAACTTCTCTCTTCCCTTTCCATCGCTATTTTAAACCAATTCAGAAACACTACTGGGGAGGGAAAAAAAAAAAGACAACAAAACACACTTTGCCATACTTGTTTCAGGGACAGAATCACAGAATAATTTAGGTTGGAAGGGGCCTGTGGAGATGTTCCTGACCAACTTCCCACACAAAGCAAGCCCAACTTGACCAGAATACTCAATACTTTGCCCAGTCAACTTCTGCATATCTACAAGGAGCCCACTCTGGGCTCCTGTTCTTATGTCCCCATTCCTAATTTTTTTTTCCTATTATCTCAGAGTAGTCAATAAATTCTGCAGTCTCAGAATTCTTGCAATGCTGTTTTTTTCTTAGTTTTTTTTTAAAGCATCAACTCTCTACTCAATTCTTTGATACATAAAGTCTGAACTAAAAATGATCATTTTTTGCATGCATGTACATTCACAGCTTCTAAACAAGTTAACTACTGCTTTATAGCATTGCACACAACGAAAAAACATAGGTCTTAAGTCTGCATATACAAAACTGCTAGGCATTTTAGTTTGTAAAGCTATATATATTCCTGCATATACTTTTTTATTTTAATGCATAATAAAAAGCAGATTTATTAATTTATACTGTCTTTATAGCATTAATAATTCTGACCAACTTAAACATTATAATGACTGCTAGCTTTTTCCATAAAACAGTTACATAGATTGATAACAAGACCATTTGATCCAATTTTTGGAGATGAATCTTTGATGGAGTTACTGTTGGAGAGCTAACTGCACACAAAACAGTGAAATTGCTTCCAGCACCCACCTCATCAGGCACCAACCTTGGCCTTTTTTGGAGTTAGAGTTGCTGTTAGAAGTAACAGGACACTTAGATACAAAAACAACCCACTAAACCTCTGTAGGGCAGAATGAAAAAGAACCTCATTCCCTCCCCCAAAGTATATTATGAAAACCTTAATGATACCTGTACTTTAAAGGATGGCCAAGTCTTAATAAGTTAAGCTCTAAATGGTCTATTATATGAGGGAGAAGTTGAGAAAACTATAGCCAACTCAGGTATGCTAAGGTATTCAGGTATTCTAAGGTGAGTAGAATAGAAAAAGGTAAAAGACTCCCCCCACTAGCCACTCATTATACTAGGACTATCTGAAAACTTTCTACAATTTTTGGCCTACTTATGTTTTGGCCCATACTTACCTCAGAGAAGATTATTGCACAGTAAAGTTAAGCAGCTGTTTTCTTCAATGCCCACTTTTCGGATCTACCGCTGTCTTTCTGCTGAAAAGTTCTCCTTTTTTGGTCTTAATTCTCATTCTCTTTTAGCCTATTTTTATTTAACAAACATCTGAGACTTTAGGGGTATGTAAAACATACCAAATGAAAATAGGACTGTGATTTGTAATGACCTATTACAGCATATGGACTTACTCTTCTCTGAAAGGGAATGAATTCACTTATTGTTTGTAGTTTTTTATTTTTAAGGGAAATATTTAAAAACTGAAATTTCACCCTGGTTCAGTACCTGATAAAACACGCCTAACCAGATTTTGCTTCATCTTGTCCTGAAACCAACATCTCTTGTCACTGTAAGATGACTCTTGCAGTAGAGAATCTTGTAGCAATATATCTCAATCAAGATCAATCTTCATGTAAATCAGAGATCAGAGCTGCATGCCAATAAGTCTTAAATGCCAGCACATGCCTTGTAAGTTTCTTATAATCACAGATAAAAATATAACAAGGCCAGAGTAAACTTTGGTGACTCTTGGAAGATTATTTCCAGACAGAAGGATATGACCTAAGGACAGCCTTCTACATTCTCCCTCAACCATCTACCTGTTCAATGGCTTCCTTGAGTGCAATCAAGAACTTAACTGTTCTTAGTCTTACCTGCAAAAGTCTCACCAACAATGAGAGAGAATGTGTCACACAAGTGCTCCTAGTTCGCTTAGGATGGAGAAACCAAAACCAGTGACAAAGGCACCTGCCCCATGGTTGTTTTCACCCAGTGATACCCATAACCTAGCAAAGAGGCCAGATACAGGGTCCGCCCCCACCCACCACGCACCTTTCAGTCCACAAAGGCAAAGAAAACACAGCATGCCTTATATATGTAGAAGTATTAGGGAAAATATTTTATAAAGGTGTGTACATATTTACGTTATTTACATATTTCAGCACAGAGCTAACTTTCTAGCAAGTTTGCTCTTCCAGAAGTTATCCTGATAGTAGCACAGCATACACACATTTGCATTTGAATTCTGTTGCTTGTTCAAAAAATAGCATTTGAATACATGCCCTGATAAAAAATGAAAATAATTTCAGATATTATTTAATACCTAGTTGATATACAACATTTCTACATCTCACAGCCAAGGAATTCTAGCAAGACAAAAGCCATCATACATATGCCTGGATTTTTCAGGTATATATACTTGTAAACACACATGTATACACATGTATATATACACACACATATACTTAGTGGGTTATCATATTTACGAAATTTAAAGAAATTAATCATTTGTTTGCAAATCCAGCTGAAGGGAACTATGATCCTCAAGGCTGGCAATGAACTAAGCACAAGGGCATGAAGAGGGCATTCAAAGTGCTCTCCTGAAGTTGTAATTACCTAGTCATTTGCAAAGTTTGAAATACCTTGTCTAAAACAATGATTATTAGTTACGCCAGTAACAAATGAATTAATTGGTGTGTCATCCACTGTGATCTCTATTTCAATTGAATATTTTTGTTTGCTCTTTTTGTTTGCTTGTTTCTGTTCAAAGCCAGTTTGCATTGCCTCCACTGGCTAAAATGAATCATTTTAGATTTGTGCCAACATAAAATATGAATTAAGAACACAGATTTCATTCTGAATTATGTATTATTAATGAAAATGCTAACATGGTTAAATCAGTCAATTGCAAATACAAGAATTTTTCATTAGATGTCCTTTTAAGTAACATAAATACCTTAACACATAAACTATTTCCATTTACAACACATTGTTCTGTTATATAAATGCATGTTCTTAGAATTTTTTTTTAACAGAAAGTATTTAGCTCAGTAAATGTGCTTGAAATTTTTTCAATTGGTTAACAAAAAGATGTGTTAAAAAACCTGGAAAAATCTGTCTTAGGTTAAAAGACATTTTACAGTATTATAGGTTACACCTTTGTGAGCAACTTTAACATCACGAGATTATTAAATTTTATTATTAGCATGAAGATTCTCTCTATTAGAAAACACTCCCAGATCAGGATGATTTATAACTTCTTGGGGTTTTGACATTCTGAAGTTTCCAACAGAAACTTAAATACTCAGTATTTCAGTATCAAATATTCAGTGTGCTGCTGTCACCTGTTTCAAATTTAATTCCAATTTTTCCTTCGGAACTGCTCAAATTCCTACATGATCCTAGCTTTGCCAAAGAAATCTTCTGGACAAAGATGCAGGAAAGCACAGTCAGGTTCCCACTGATGCATCTCTACAAAATGTTTCTCTAGGTTGATGCCTGGACACAAAAATTCTCAGACCTCTGATGTTTCAGAATAGCTCCCCAGCAATCTGGACAACTGAAATGTTCAGTAATGCCAGGTACTCAATGACTCTGGGCAAAGCAGCAATCAAAAACTGTTGTTTAGTGTCATATCACAGTGCCAGCAACTCCCACGAATCTAGTACTATGAATGCACGTATACATTCTATTTACCTCTGAACAACACAGAGTTCTTCACAGCACTACCTGGTTCCTCCAAATTGCGGAAGTCTATGGGACAGCAACCCTAAAACATTCTCAGAAAGCACACAGGAATTTCACACACATCCTCCAGTGCTCATAAAACCTGAGTGCTCATAAAAACGGAATTACCCATGTTTAACTTCTTACTGACGTTTAAGAACCTAACAAAATGCTTGGCTAATGCCAATCATTTTCTAGTTCTTAGACCTAGGGAAATGTCCAGCCATCAAGACTGACGCTGTGAAGCACTAACTTTTTTTTTTTAAAATGACTTCAACTACAGAAGTGAATTGTCCTGCAGAGTATTGCAAGCCAGTTCCCCAACACTTCTGCTTTAATGAGCACATTCCACACCCTCTTGAGCTCACAGTGCTGCATGGGAGTTAAAAGCAGAACACTACTGCAAGTAGGCACTGGAACATACAAACCACTGAACCTAAGTGGCTTACACAACATAATCATGCAAGCCAAGTCATGCAGATACTTACTGCAGTGTAATGAAATAGTGCCTGACTTATGTTTCAGAGAACTACAAGACACTTCTGTTTGAACCTTCAATTTTAAACTTTTTTATTCATTTCCAAATCCAATAGCTATCTTACCAACACAGATGGAGGCTAAATAGAGCATACTTACGACATCTTGAATTACAATCTTGATGCTTTTAATTTTTGCGGAAATGTGTTTTTGTGGAAAAGGACAGGCATCTAAAGTTCACTTTTAGAGTAAGAGTTCTAATATTAGTCCTTCTAACTTGAAAAAAATAAATAAATACCAGTGCTTTGAAGAATTAGGTCTGGACTACTGAGCCATCTGCAATAAATCAAACCTTTATTTACTTTTCAGAAAGCTATTTATTCAAATAAGATAGTATTTGGATCATAAAATAGTTGGACATATATGGAAATACATGACCAACCCTTTATTAATCAGAAGATGGAGGGAATGCCTGACCTTTAGACTTGAAATAACCACATCAGTGATTATTTTATTTATATAACCTGTTAGTATGGCCTGTTACCTCACAAAATAAGAATAATGAAATGATTCTAGTCGCTTGTTAGTAACGTGTAATCCTTCACAAAGGATACAGGAAGTTTCAAGTTATAACCTGCTTAGAATATACTGCATGCTTTAAATGTTATCTACTTCATCTGCTATGATCAGGATTTTTTTTTGCCTCCTTTTTTTTTTTTTTTTTTTTTTTAAGTAGGTTTTATAGTTTCTGCTGAAGTCCAATTTACCTAATCAGAAAACAAACTAAGAGAACAACAAAAAAATATTTCAATGGCTGTCAAACAACAGTATTCTTGTCCCTTCCCTCTTTCTCAGACAGGATCATTTCCATCCCATCTACTCCAACTGCTATCTATACAGCAGTTAGGAAGCTATGGTGACCATCACAGGGAATCCACTCTGCAGATTCAGGAAGCTCTTCTGGTGCTGTTCTCTCACCAACAGAGAAATTCCCATTCACTGGAATGTACCAGAGTAGTGGATATACTGAAAATAAGCCTTTGTTTGTCAAAAGGGTTACAGTGGATTTGACATTATTTTTTCCATCAAAGTAAATATTACAAAAAGATATCTGCTGATATTAGTCCACCTAAATGCTGAAGACCCAAGTCCAACAACGCAAGGCTCTAAAGTTTATCTTCTTAAATGTTAAACAGTTACATACAGCGTGTGTGGGGAAGTAGTTATACTATGTTCTAGAGATCCTATTAAAAATTGTAACCCAAGGATCTGCACTACAGTTAAATGACATTACACTGTTTCTTTCTCTTATCAGATTCAACCACTATAGTTATACCCACCTGTCACATTCACTGCTGGCCCAGTCTCGTACTGTGGAACTCCCGAGTTCTGTCTCACACCGAACAGTATACCAGATGTATCATCTGGTGCAGCTGGTGGAGAATCCATAATATAATCCTAATAAGATATTTTCAAGAGGGAAAAGAGATCTGAGGTTTAACATTTCTTACTTGTTGGCTTCAAAGGGTTTATTTTTAAAACATTGTATGCTTGCTTAAAAGTATTCACAAGTACTTCTCTGTAGATAAGTAAGCTATAGCCTCCCCCAAATATATAGTTTCTTTTGACAATTTAAGAAGTTTGTAATTCTTATCAGTGGTTGTTAATTTAGTCACAGCTGTATGTCAGAAAAGTGAGAACACCCACAGGACCCCTGAACTGAAAAAGTTTATTTATGAAATTATTAAACCTTTTGAACCACTGATTTTAATTATTTCTGTTCAAAACAGTGATGTTTCTTCAAATTATACATGGATCATTTTTCAAAAACAATTGTAATACTTTCCTCCTTCAACCTCATCTCAGGCACTCACCTGCCACTCTTGTGCAACAGCTAACTGTGTCTAAAAGGATGAGAAAGCAAAACTCCAAACAAAAGTAGCATAAACTTGACAGAAGCAGAAGCTTCTCAAAGTATGAAACTAGACCAATCAAATTCTAGTCAAGCATAAACATAACTTTTAATAGTACATTGACTGGGAAGGGCACTTGCATTTGTGATGTCACTGTTTTTTCCCCTCTTAGTATAGAATCCGAGAATAATTACAAAGGACTTCTGGAAATTACACAACCCAACTCCCTTCTTAAGGCACAGCTAACTTCAGTCAGTACAAGATATGCGAAGCCTGCTGGGCGATGCCTTAAGCATCTTCGAGGACAGGCAACTCATTCACTTTCAATTGCTCTTCTAGTACTACTTGTAAGGGGTGGGGGGCAGGTGAAAGAGTCCATGTTTCCTGGCTACAATACTCAATTTTTAGAACCACACCCTTTCATTATCGATCACTCAATAGGTCATACTTGGAGAAAAAAGAAAAAGAAGTTGGAATCACGTCTCTTTACAGATATTTGAAGATGGGGCATGGAGTAAGGGAAACCCTTTCCAAGATGCAGCAGTACTGCTTACATTTCAAGTGGCCATCCCTTCTAACAAAAACAATCTGGAACATGAAATATCGTCACCAGCAGCAATAATTAGCTGAGGAAAATATGATAACTATGTTCTATTTTTAACATTAAGGTATGATATGTAAAATGTTGGCACATGGCTTTTATACTGCAAAATAGTCTAATTGCTTTTTCCTCATAAAGCTGTACTGTGAAATGAAAAGCTAGATTAAAAGTAACTCCACTTTCTTACAAGAAATGTGTCACTCAAAACACACACTTTGTCATTCATCTATCACTGAAACAAAGCCCAAAAACCTTTTGCTGTAAAGATCAATCTCTTCCCATTCATAATTTTGCCAACTCACTTGAAAACATTGCCATGAAAATTATTACATTTTAACTGCTACATTGACTGACTTTGCTGGAAAAAGTCTAAAATGTGCACAAAACAAATACAGCTGTGATGATCTGACTCAGTGCCAAAAAAATGAACAAGTTAAGATGCCTCTTCCCATCCCCTCTTTTTGTCATAAATCTCTTCAATTGACACCCTGTAAGGCCTTAAACATGTTGAAGAATCTTAACACCATGAAGGACCATTCTTTCCTCTGGTGAATGATCTAATCCAGACTCACCAAATTAAATAGATCTGTTCAAGCACAGTTGAGAGAAAAAAAATATAACATGAAAAACATTACTAACAGTCAATTATTTCTTTGCTCATATTAGGCTAATGCTGAGCATCCTTAGATTTTCCAATTGTGGAAACTAAAGTGGTAATCAGTGATTCACATTGTCCATCAAATCCACTCACAGAGGAATTAGGACAATGCACAGCATTGGATGTAGGCACTCCCAAAACAGCTACATAGAACAGGATGCTGAAGTTTGGCCAACTTGAGCGAGTAGCTTTAAGGCAGGGACAGAGAGGGAAGAAGTTTTGGAACTGAGTTAGTCTGCAACAAGCAGACAACAAGCACACAAAAACTAGACTTATACCAGGTCAATCAATCCAGACTGTGATAGGCAAGGTGTATTTCACAGATAAAACTGGAATACAAAGCATTGACAAGAGATAAACTACAGACATACACATTACGAAATGGAGGAAATATCCTTTTTGACCAAGTTGGTGATCCAAAGAAATGAGTTCCCAGAAAAAAACACTTTGGCATCCTAGGATTAAAAAAATAATAATAAAAAATAAAAAACCACCCACCATACTAAGAATGTAAGGAGGTTTGAGCAGAAAGTTGGACTAGGTGATCCCCAGAAATCCCTTCCAACCTCAGCTGTTCTGTGATTCTGTGATCATTACATCACAAAAAAAATTAAAAATAAGTTTCAACCTGGGGAAATTTGAAGGGATATCAAACATTTCTATATTTCTCTGAAAATCTGATTTGAAGCCTTTGCCTTTGACAGCAATCAGGTTGGGAAGAAACAAAAAGGTGTACAAAATAAAACACGTGACAGAAAGGCTACAGCAGAAACACACTGATACAAAACAGGAAGAAAAACAAACAAAGGGTCTAAGGAGTTCTAAAGCAATAAAGTGACCCAAAACAATGCTAGCATACATGTAACACAAACAGTAAATGAGGTAAAAATCAAACATGATTTTAAAAAAATGCATATGCACAAAACTCAGCCCAAGAAGCTGAACTATCCTATCTTATCCTGATTTTAAAAAAACACAAACACCCACACATGCACCAGGGATGAAACAAACACCTTTGCTCACAAAAAGTCTAACACTGTCAAGAAGCAAGTGGCCGAAACAATACAAAAACAACAGCAAAAAGCAAGTTATTATAGATAAGAATGAAATCAGAAACACGATTCTGAATCATGAAAGACTCAATTGAAGGAATGAAACATTTAAGTGTTTTAGGGAAGAAAACAAACAAAAATCTTCCTAAATGAAATCAAGCCTTCTTGATTATGTCAAGAATGAAATCTAAAGCCCATATTCAGGAGAATTCAAAAACTGAAAAGCTCATGAAAGTCACATCAATATGTTAACACTGTAAAGAAACATGTAGTATGACAATTCCATTTGTGAAAGGTTTTACGAGGCCAGAGAACATGGCTGCAGCAGAACTCCCAGGAAAGGATGCCAGCTGGTGTAACCTAGAATAAAGCCAGAGACACACAAAACTGAAAAGTGATTAAAGAGCCCCCTCCCCACCCTTTTTTTTTTGATTTTGTTAAGGCTCTGCCCCTTAACAGCCATATTTCAGGCTGCAACAACTTCAAGTAGCTCCACTCAGCCAAAAAACATAAACAAGAAGAGCCCACAAGCTCAGCAAACAAACAAAAACAGAAAAACTATAAAACCTGATCAAGTCTTATTTGTGACATTCCTG